CCTCAGCATAATTATCCACATCCTTCTCCCGATCGCAAGTCCTCCCCGTTTCCCCACCGGCCGGCCGAGGCACTCCAGGTGCTCTCTCCTTCCGGCCGCGCTGATTCTCCCCGGCCCCTCCCACTCGTGGTAATTAGGTCAGGGCGTTAGTTAATATTCATCAGTTCATTACTCATGCGTACTTCTGTCTTTAAGCTCCGGATTTCAGCTAATTATCTACCTTGTCTCGCGCAAGGAGGCGACTTCCCCTCCATCTGCAGCTACTTGATAACCATAACGCTACTTCCTCATCTCTCACAATCCACCCTTTTTCTATTTTCTCCCTTATGGTTATCACCTCCATACTGTTTTTCCCTAAACCTCCGTAACATCATTCTAGCTTCTTCTTTATTCATGGATCGTCCCATCCTTTTACAGGTTTCTCTTATCAATTCTATGATGCATGGTAGGCGTTGTATACAAACGCAGCATAAAATACCTACAAAACTATCATCATTCCTACTACGAGCACATTCTTAACCCAACTCCCTACATCAGGAAACCATTCATCCAAAAATCCAAAGGGGTTCCACTTACCATTCCATCTCTTTGATTCATCCTCATGTTTTTCTACTATAGCGTGTTCCATAACTTCCATTGTCTTATTGATATCCATTTGGTTATTATGAATATATACACAGCAATGTGAACGTACAACAACACAGACTCCTCCTTGAGCTGCCAGTAACATGTCTAAAGCTTCCCTATTTTGTAAGACCACCCACCTAATTTCTCCTTGCTCTTGATTTAATTTCTGCAACCCTTCTAGTTTTATTAAACATCCATTCCGTCCAATTACTTAATTTAACCAGATCCCTAAAGTTCAGTGCTACTCCTAGCGAAGGTATAATTAACCTAAGTAGCCTCTCCCCATCACGACTGCTTGTTTTTAGAGGGCTCTTTGCTTCTACTTCTCTTTTGTTTCTAATACGATGTTGGGTCATGTTCTTTGATCCTGAGGGCTGGGGCCACTCTTCCCAAGGTACATGTTCCTTCCCAATATGGGGGTATTGCTTTATATGCCCTCCGACCACATAACAACCACCACCCTCCTAGCAAGGAGGTGTGCCTTTTGGCATGATCCGCAGGAGCTACCGCTGACTGGATTAACGATCTAATAGTGTTACATGCTGAACCCCCCATACCCCTGTTACCTGATATCTTTTCATTACACTCATACTCTGATATGTTTTGATACGTAAAGCTAGGATCAGTCATGTTATACATTCCATCTATGTCAATAGTTTCATCACAGTTTGAATAAGTGCCCAAATCAACAGTATTATTGCTAGTGTTGTTAACATGCTTCCAACAATATGGTGCCTTATCCTGTATTCTAGATCCTGTCAATACCATTGTATTATTAATCTCAACTGATACAAGTGCTCCCCTCACCCGGGATCTTAACCATTCAGTTTTATTTAGTGGTATTGCCTCCATAGGGAGTCCATCATTAGCTTTAGCAGGCATACGTTGACATACCAAGCAATTGGTTATATTGCTGGTCTCAATTTGTTGCAAATACTCCTCCACTCTCCTAATCGAAGTGTTTTGTTTCCAAAGTCCTAATTGTATCTCTTGCCTATTTCTTTCTGCTTGAATTACCCATTCTATCTGACAGAGCAATAAGACCTGTAAACCCCATTTTAGTGATAATCCCATTGTAATTCGGTTCCAAATCTTCAATTATCACAATATCACACTCTTCCTCTAAAAGTATAGGGCCACAAGCCACACAATAAACAGTAATCCAGATATAACCCCACCCACTATATCCCCTGGGTGTATCATTAAGCTTTATTGTCTCCACAACTTGAGTTTGAGGGGCTCGTTGGCAGCGTCACTAATCCGCTCCTTTGGTTCTCCACCGGTCCTTTCACTCTGGTATAAGGGTCCACCCTTTTTCTTTTGTTCGGACTGCAGTTTCGATGGTTAGGAGAACCTGATGTGGTCCTTCCCACTGGGGTTGGAGTTTCTCTTCTTTCCAACTTTTTATTAGGACCCAATTTCCTGGCTGGAACCGGTGAACTGCAAACTCGAGCGGTGGGGTTTGTGCCAACAGACCCTTTTTCCTGAGGATAGAAATAGATCTGGTCAGATCAAGCACATACTTTCTTATGATTCTATCTTTTAATTCTAATGCATTTTCTCCCCATTCAGTCCACATATACGGAACACCAAACATCATTTCCTATGGAGACAATCCTATATCTCTTCGGGGCTTTGTTCTAAGTCTCAACAGAGCTAGGGGTAAACATTTTGTCCATGGTAGTTGTAACTCCAACATCAGCTTACTTAGAGCCTCTTTTAACATGCTATTGGCCCGTTCAATTCGATGATGGATGCCAAGGCGTATGACGGTCCCACTGGATATTTAGAGCTTGCATCACTCCCTGCAACACCTCTGCAGTGAAGTGACTTCTGGAATCACTATCTACCTTAGAGATCATCCCATACCTAGGTATTATTTGCTCTAAAATAATTTTTATTACCATCCTTGCAGTAGCTGCCCTTGTGGGAAAAGCCTCCCCCCAACCAGTCAAATGATCCACTATTACCAATAGATACCTCATGCGACCACTAGGTGGCAGCTCGGAATAATCGACTTGAATACATTGGAAGGGCCTCAAAGCTGGAGGTCTTCCTCCTTGCGCTTTTTGTCTTGAAGCTTGTCTGTTAATTTTCTTACATATCATACATTTCTCAGTTACTTGTTTTGCTACTGTATAAATTCCCATGCACCCATACTTCTTTACAAAAAGGTCTACTAAAGCTTGAATTCCCCAATGAGTGCTGTCGTGCAAAGTGTTTGGTATTTCCCTGGCCAAAGTTTTGTTCAATATTTGTCTCCCATCTGGTAAAATCCACTTCCCTGACTCATCTTCATTTGCTCCTATTCTTTTTAATTCTTCTTTTTCTCTTTCCTCAAACACTGGTATGTGCCCTTTAACTCCTGGGAGTGTAGGGGTAAGGTACTTTATTTCTTCATCCTCTTCTTCAGCTCCCGCCTCCTTTGCCTCCATATCTGCTAAATTATTTCCCACGGCTCCAAAACTACCTCCTTTCTGATGCCCATCAACATGCACCACCGCTATTTCTGTTGGTAGCATAAGGGCTTGCATTACTTCCTTTATCAAGTCCTCATGCACCAATCCCTTTCCTTTACTAGTCATTAACCCTCTTTCTAACCAGATTTTCCCAAATGTTTGTTCAACTCCAAATGCATATTTGGAGTCTGTATACACGGTCCCTATTTTCCCATCTAGAAGACAGAGAGCCTGTTTTAGTGCATACAATTCACAAGTCTGGGCTGACCAATGCTTTGGCAAACTTCCCACTTCCAGTACCACTTTCTCTCTACCATCAATTACAGCATATCCATTCTGCCTTTTCCCCTTTATTACTCTAGAAGACCCATCTATAAAGAGATGTTCCCCTTCTTCTAATGGTGCTTCCAGTAAATCAGGGCGTATTTTGGTTTGTAAATCTATTACATCCATACAGTAGTGTTCAAGATCTTCCTGTTCTCCCCGTTCATTGGCTACAAACTGGGCAGGGTTTAAATTTGGATCTGTTGTTAAAGTCAAATCAGGCTTCTCCATTAAAATAGCCTCATACTTAAGAACCCGAGAGTCTGTGAGCCATCGTCCTGCTTTTTGGTGCAAAATAGCCCTCACTTGGTGTGGGGTGCTAACTACCAATGCTCCCACACAGGTTCGTTTCCTGCTCTCCTGCACCAATATTGCAGTGGCTGCCACGGCTTGTACACCGACTGGCCAACCTCTGATTACAGGGTCCATTATTTTGGAGAGAAAGGCTACGGGTTTTCTTTGCCCTGCCCACTTCTGAGACAATACTCCCTGAGCAATGCCATTCTCAGGGCTTGCATGTAAGTGAAATGGTTTCTCCAGGTTAGGTAGGCTCAACACTGGAGCTTAGCTGAGGGCCTTCTTCAAAGTCTCAAAGTTCCCCAAGTCACTTCCCTGCCACTTTAAACACCAAGGTTCCTCCTCCAACAGTTTAGCACACAAGTTTCTAGTCAGAGCGGCATAATTGTCAATCCATAATCGACAATATCCAACTAAACCCAAAAATTTCCTCAACTCCTTCTTTGTCTTAGGTAAGGGTTGAGTCAGGATTCCTTCAATCCTGCTAGGAGATATTTTCCTTCTCCCTTCACTAATTAAGTGTCCTAAATATTTAACTTCTTTCTCCACATATTGCAATTTACTTTTAGATACTCTTAATCCTTTTTCTCCTAAAAAATCTAGCAACTGGTTAGTAGCCTGTCTCACCTCATTTTGCTTCTTGCCTGACACTAGTAGATCATCCACATATTGAATTAAGGTTATTTGTTTAGGCAAAGTCAATTCTCCCAACACCTGTTCTAGTATTTGCCCGAATAAGTTTGGGGACTCTGTAAACCTTTGGGGCAAAACAGTCCATTGATACTGTTGCTTTCTCCCTGTATGGGGATTCTCCCATTCAAAAGCAAACATGGGGCGGGAATCCTCATGCAAGGGGCAAGTCCAGAATGCATCTTTTAAATCTACCACACTGAACCGTGTGTGTTCTGGTGGGATCCTTCCCAATAGCTTATATGGATTGGGGGCCCCTGGGGGCCTTGTTAGCACTATTGAGTTCAGCAGCCTCAGAGCCTGAACCATTCGATAGGTCCCATCTGGTTTCCTAACAGGTAGGACAGGAGTGTTATATGGGGACATTGAAGGTTCTATAAGGCCATCTTTTAGGAGACCGTCTATCACTGGTTGTAGTCCTTTCCTCCCCTCCAAGGAGAGGTTATATTGTTTCCGCCTAATTATTTCATTCAGTTGCTTCAATTGGACACGCAGAGGTGGTATTTGTAATCCCCCTCTGTTCCCATCCTTGACCCATACAATTGGATTAATTTGCTGTTCATCTTCTTCCCTTAGCACGCACATCTTCTCATTATTACTGTCATTTTCAAATTTAATGTGTAAGTTTAACAAAGTCAAGGCATCCCTGCCTAATAAATTTACACCTGCCTCTGGTATGTACGGCATTTCTAGTTTCACTTTATTTCGTTTTTCAATTCCAATTTCAGTCTCCCTTAATTTATTCACTAAGAAGGTTTCTCCTTTGACTCCAGAAACTTTCATGGTTTGCCCACTTAGTTGTAGGCCCAAGGGCATGCAGGCTAGAGACGTTCGTGATGCCCCTGTGTCTATTAAAAAGGTAACCTCTTCTTCCCTGGATCCCACTAACAAATTTATCAAGGGCTCTTAGTGAGACCCCAATATCAAGTGCCCCTGACCCCCCTAGTCCTCAGTTTCCACTAAGTTATAGATCTGCCTCTCCCTTTCCACTAGGGGCAATCTGTCTTAAAATTACCTATTTGGCCACAGCAGAAGCACTTTTGCGGGCCTCGTTCCCTTTTTCTGAAGGGTTGTTTAGAGAAATTAGGTCTCCCAGCCAGAGTTGGGCGCCTCCGAAAATGACTATTACCTTGAGGCTGAGATTCTCTCCTTTTCTCCGCTGGTTCTTGTTTTTTTTACTATTTCCTGCACCGTTGTTACCATGATTTTTCCCTTTTGTTTTATTTTCTCATCTTCCCTTCTTACATACACTTTCTGGGCCTCTTTCAACAAATCATTTAAAGGTTTTTCAGCCCAGTCATCTAATTTTTGGAGTTTCTTTTGTATATCTGGCCAGGCCTTCGTTACAAAATTTACTTTTAAAAGTGCCTGTGCAGTAGCCTCCTCAGGGTCCATACCAGAATATTTCCTCATTGCATCTTTTAACCTTTGCAAAAAGGCTGAGGGGGGCTCATCTTTTTCCTGTCTTAAATCAAATGCTTTAGCCATATTCTGGGATTTTGGAACAGCTTCTTTCATTCCTTTGACTATCATGCTTCTCAAAACTTCCATATTAGTTCTATGGGCTGCATTGTTATTATCCCAATTAGGTCTTGCCAATGGAAATTTCTGCTGCCCTATACATAATATTATTGTTTCCTGTGGGTGGATGTTCTCTTTCCCACACTCTGATGGCGGAGGCTCTAATTAACTGCCTCTCCTCTCCTGTAAAGAGGGTGGTCAGCATTGCCATCATTTCCTCCCAGGTGTACACATTAGGTCCTAATAAATTATCAAACTGCTCCGCTACTCCTCCCCGCAACGGGTCCTCTACCAGGCTCTTTAGGTCCTGTTTAACTGCCCGTACCTCAGAGCTTTTCAACGGGCCCTGAACATAACTAATTACCGGTTGGCCCAATGCGTTTAACCCAGAGGGTACTTCCCTTAAAGGGACGCGGCGGCGCAGCGGCTTAATGACGCTGAAAGTTGCTGGCCAGAAATGGCTGATGCTTCAGCGGTTCGAGTCCAGCCTTCGCGTTTAACAGGGTGAGCTGCTGTTTCCTCCCCAGTTCCTGTTAACCCAACAGTTCGAAAACTCACGTGAGTAGATAAATGGGGACTCTCACTCCGGTGGGAGGAAAAATGCTGGCGGCGCCTTGCAAAAGGAGTCGGGAGCAGTTGCTGGGTAGCACAACCGCCCTCGCCCGAAAAAGGGCGCAGAGCAACGGAAACCCTGCCTCCTGCACGCGCCAGCCGGGCTCTGCTCTAGGAAGGAGGCTCTGGCAAACCACTTCCAAAACACCTTGCCTTGAAAACTGCAAAGGACTCGTCCAAGCAGTCACTGCAGGGTCGGTAACGACTGAGTGCAGATTAAAAAAAAAAACTTCCCTTAAAGGGAAGATCTGCTGTGATTTTAACCTCTCCTCCCGTTGGCGGTGTCTACGGGCTCGTTCCGCTTCTAACTCATCTTCGGTAAAAGGTAAGCTTTTAAAATCCTTTTTACACTGGTCAAGTTCTCTTTTCAACTTTGCATAATTTGGTCTATTATCTTGTGGAATGGGAGTCCTATAAGCTGGATTGTGAGGAGGGGGCAAATATTTCTTATTTTCTAGTTTCCTCCAAGGAAGTCCCAGGGTTCAACGGGAGGGGGCTTTATTTCCTCTTTCTCCGGGTCCGCATTAGGGCATAACCCAGCTCTTTACATTCCTTAGGGCTTCTCCTAAGCACGTACTCACATAACCCTCAACGTCTGACACGATCGTTGGATCCAAACCGCGGCCACAAATTCCCGACTGATCTAAGGGTTTTCTGCCCCACGTGGAACAACAGAAGGGTTCGTTTTCTCTCGTCCGGGTCTCTCGTAGCCCCTCCGGACGGGAGTTCGCCAGG